GGAGGTCATGTTGCCGCTGTACAGGACATTGGTTTGCAGATGCTGGAGAATCTGAGATAACCTTTTTCTGAAGAAGGGTCTCGGCCCGAAACGTCAGCTTTCCTGCTCCTCTGATGCTGCTTGGCCTGCTGTGTTCATCCAGCTCTACATCTTGTTATCTCAGATTCTCCAGCATCTGCAGTTCTTACTATCTCTATATTTAAACAGCTTAGTTTGCTTATTTTTTCTCTATCTTTTGTATAAAAGGCTGGATATCAAACAACGATGAGACAGAACACAGGAAGGAGATACAATGCTTGGTGACATGGTGCAAAGATAACAATCCCTCTCTCAATGTCAGCAAAATTAAAGAGCTGACCATCAACTTCAGGAAGAAAGAAGGAGGGCACACCCTTATCTATATCAATGGGGCTGAGGTGGAGACGGCCGAGAGTGTCAAGTTCCTAGGAGTGATGATAACCAACAATCTGTCCTGGACCACCCACAAAGGTACAACAGTCAAGAAGGCACAACAACGCCTCTTGTTCCTCAGGAAGCTAAGAAATTTGGCATGTCCATAAGAATGCTCACCAACTTTTACAGATGCACCATAGAAAGCATTTTACAACAACTGCTCTGCCCAGGACTGTAAGAAACTACAGAAAGTTGTGAGCACAGCCCAGACCATCATGCAAGCCAACCTCCCATCCATTGACTCCATTTACACTTCTTGTTGCCACAGAAAGGCAGCCAATATCAAAGACCCTTCCCACCCAGTTATAATCTCTTCTGTCTGGCAGAAGATACAAAAACTTAAACACACATACCAACAGGTTCAAGAACAGCTTCTTCCCTGCTGTTATTAGGCTGCTGAATAGACTTCTCAAATTTCAAATCTAAGTTCATCTTGCTTTTGTACACCCCCTATGCAGCCGTAGCTTTGTATGCCTCATTCTGTTCAATCATGCCATGATCTATATGTTCTTGTATGTTATGATCTGCCTGTACTGCATGTAAAACAAAACTCTTCACTGTACTTAGGTACGTGACAACAATAAACCAAATTAAATCACATCCAGTAAACTTTTGTTCTGTTTTTAAAGAAACCCCGCAGTCCTGTGTGACTGTTTTTTAGCAAATGACCTCCGCATTAACTAATTTTAAAAAAATCAAGCCAAATATCATTCCAGAATCTGACTTTTTGAGTAGTTGTATCAGCTCGATCATAATGTGTACATAAAATGTACATATGTTAATACGTTTTTATAAGTATATTAAACATAATGTTTGTTGCCATGGACTTCAGGGCTACAGATATATGATTTCTTTGGGTGTCTTGGCTAGTCTCAAAATGGGCCAGCTCTCCCAACAAGAAAGTTAGTGGAGATAATTTTTCAAAATATCACTCGAACAGCAATTTGCTTAATTAGCATATTTCGTTTTGAAACATTCTTATCCTATACAAAATAGAAATATAAATTAATAATAAAATAGTGCTAGAAAAAAAGATTTTGCCAAAGTTTTTTGTCTTGCATTCATCAAGATAATTTGCAAGAAATACAACATTTAGACTATATGTGAGAAGAGCGCTGATTGGCAGTCAAATGGACTCTGATTGGTAGAAGCACTGCTGTTGAAAATACAGCTGTTAATTGTCAAGCTTTGTTTACATTTTAAACTAGACAAGTTGATTCTGATTAGTTAATGCATTGCCAAGCACACCGTCCTTCTGTCTGCAAAGGACAGGATCCTATGTATTATTAATTGCAGCTTCCAGCACACATAAGCGCGCCTGTGAGCCTGATGATTACAACTTTTGAAAAGCATCTGGATGAATATTTAAAAGGCCAGGGCATAGTTTGCTATGAATCAAGTTTTTTTTTTCCTTTATTCATTCACAGGATGAGGGTTTCGCTGGCTTGGTAGCATTTATTGCCCAACGCTAATTGCCCCAGAGGGCAGTTCAGAGTCAACCACATTGTTATGGGTCTGGAGTCACATGTAGGCCAGACCAGGTAAGGACAGCAGTTTCCTTCCCTAAGGGACATTAGTGAATTAGATGGGGTTTTCCAACAGTCAGCAATGGATTCATGGTCATCAGTAGACTCTTAATCCCAGATATTTTATTGAATTCAAATTTCACCATCTGCCGTGGCAGGATTTGAACACGGGTCCCCAGAACGTTATCGGAGTCTCTAGATTAACAGTCCAGCGATAATACCACTACACCATCACCTCCACTGCAGGTAAGTGGGTTAGTGTGGTTTGGTGTTTGCTTGTTATAGACATGGTGAGTTGAAGAGCCATACAGCAGAGAAACAGGGCCTATGACCAACAATTCTAAATTAGTCGTCAGCACAGTTTTGCACACACTTAGGATTCTGTTCTCAGGAAAATAGCTGGATCAATCTGAATCAACCTGCCTGGTTTAAAGTTTAAACAAAGCTTGACAGTTAACTGTCAGTCATCACCATTGGGTGCCTTCTCCATAGCAATGCCTCTACAAATCAGAGTTCACTTGTCAGCCAGTGTGCATTCTCATACAGTATAAATGTCCTTTTCTCTTTACATTTTTTTGCAAATCGTTCTCATGAGTGCAAGAAAATAATGCTTCAACTTGTAAGTATTGCTGAAAAAGACAGGTTCTTACAACTAAACAAGTATTTACATAAACATTAGCTGCCTGTATGTAGCAATGCTTGCTATTAGTCCATAACAAAAGGGACATTGTATGTTTACCACACTTTATCCATTGCTGTAATATAGAAAATAACAGAAACCTGTTGTGTCATTTGAAGAACAACACAGGAGTTCTCCTTGGTGACTTCACCAATACTTATCCCACAACCAACATCACTAAAACAGATTACCCAGACATTGTCACAATATGGTTTGTGGGCCCTTTTGTGTGCAACATACTGCCCATTTCTTATAAGTGAATACACTTCAAATGTACCAAACTGGCTACAAAGTGCTTTCTTTCTTTCTTATGCCCTGCAACCCTTCATTAAGATAGTTACCTAACTTTTAATTGAAGTAGATAATAGATCATATCAAATGCTTTTGATATATCCACCATTAAGTCATGACAAACATTTCATCCAGGAGGCTGGGGGTGGATGATTCATTTCTGAGTCACTAATTTAAATTCCTCTGTGCTGTTAATTGTTTTAGATTATAAACTCAACTTCATTTCATAGCTAAATTTACGTTTAGCCATGAGTAATAAATTTAACAAAAGCTTTTTTCTCCCTGACCTGTTTTTATTTAATGGTAGTATTGTGGGGTTAAGTTGGGGGATGGGGAGAAGAGTGCTGTCAATTTGTTGAGTGAAGATGTGAAAAAAAAGTTCAAATTTGCAATGGCTTCCTGACTGAAATTGCCAGTGTTAAAATGCAGAATCAATCTGTGCCATGAACATTTGTTTAGACCTTGATTAGACTTGCCAGTGGAGAGTAGACATCAAGTGAAATGGTGATGTCAATATAATCTCACAACCAAGCAAGGCATCAAATTACTTCAGCAGAAAACGAGTAGAATTTCAACTTCAAAAGAGCATAGTGCAAAAATGTACCACATACCGCCTTTCCTTCTGCCCAGATCACTGCTCCAACACCGATCTTTTGATCCTCTGAAATATATTAATGTAAGTTGGTTTAATATAAATTCAACTACAAGTATTTCCAGCCACTCTCATGATTCATTCACAGGAATTTTTGCCATAAAAGGCATGTGTCAATTTTAAGAATCAAACAGAAATGAAACAGGAATTCTATAATTTAAAACCATGATTGCATCTAGGTAGATAAATGCACATTAGATGTGCCTATTGCAGAAAAAAATGTCAAGTGTTATCAAATCTTTCCAGATAAAGAACTGCCCCAAATATAGATCAAAGATCTCTCAAATGATCAATTTAAATGCTCCAACTTGAACTATCCACAATCTTTTCAGTGATTCCAGTAACTATCTAAATTATATCAATGAATAAAAATGTGTAGAAATTAAATACACACAACATATGTTTATACATTGGGACGTTCTTTCATTTTAGAGACAAAGTACTTCACAGAGAGGTAAGTGAAGAAAGAGGAAATAGTAGAAAAGTCATAAATCTTGGTCAAAGAAGTCAGATTTATTGAGGGTCTTAAACACAGAAACTAAGAGCAGGAGTAGGCAGTTCAGACCATTGAGCCAGTCCCAGCATTCAAAATGAATGTAGCTGATCCTCCAGCTCATTGCCATATTCTCACTTTCTTTCCATACCCTTTAATGCCTTTAATATATCAATCGATTTCTTGACTATACTCAGTGACCTAGCCTCTGCAGCCTTTTGCGATTGCAAAATCCACAGGCTGACCACATGTCACTGAGTGAAGGAGTTTCTTCATCTCAGTTCTAAGTGGCTTACACTGTATTCTGAGATGGTGACATATCATCAATACATATTCATGATTTAGATGAGGGAACTAAATGCAACATCTCCAAATTTGCAGGCAACACAATACTGGGTTGAGGGGTGCGCTTGGGGAGGATGCAGAGATTTTACCTTATACCATTTGACTTCCTAACTGCTTGCTGTATCTGCCTGTTTACTTTTATTGACTGGTGTACAATAACACCCAATCCCTCTGAGCATCCACACTTCCAAATATGCCACAATTTCATTAACGTTCTGCCTGTTTTTTCACACTGAAGTGAATAACCTCACAATTATTCACATTATGCTGCATCTGCCACGCGCTTGCCCACACATTTAATTTGCCCAGATCACCCTGAAGCCTCCTTGCATATATGTGGAGACTGATTACATATCAGGAGTTAAATAAAAATTAAAGAATCATTTTTTTTTTAAATTTTACCCACAGAATGAAGAATTTCATGTTTTCTAACCCTGTAAAGGCTTGGCAATTTCTCTGTAAATTAGGCCTAGAGCTCTGCTTCATTTCCAATATTTGGAAATTTTATCCATGGTTTGGATACACTTGTAGACAAATGCACTTTGGAGATTTTAGGTTTCCCACTGTTCTTTGAATCAACACTCCCCAGAATGCTGTGTAACAGCCATGTCAGAACAATCAGACAGAAATGTGCAAATCTGGATGAGGGTGTGGGAGAAAATTGGCTAGGAAGTAAAATCTATGTCAGGAATAGATAACAATAAAGAAAACATTTGCATAGCTTGTGCAAGTTAAGTCATGCAATTAGATATATGTTTTCAGTCCTATTTGGGGCAAATATTTTTTGTGCTGCTAAGGGACTAGAGGCTATACCTTGGTCAGATGGGATGTTTGTGGAGCACTGATATGGAGGTTGCTGGACTACAAAATAGTCCTACAAAGACATGCTGAAAAGAATTAGAAGTACTCTCTTTCTTCCTACTATAAATTTTCACAAGACTCTTTGCAGTCTGGGATTTTTTTTTTCAGCATGTAAGCTCTCTCAAGATAAACTTATTGACGAATCACAAATTCCCTCAGGATGTGAATGAAGAATGACTTAATTTGGGACTGGAGGTATGTGTAGGCCGAACTGGTTCTTTTCCCTGAAGTATTAATGATGAACAATATGGTATTTTTATGACAATCCAGCAGCTTTTGCTTTATTTTATTTCTGTCAACCCGCACATTACCAGATTAATTAAATTCAATTTCATAACCTTTCACAGGCAAATTATTATGCATTCAACCACATTGTATCTAAAATGATATGTCCTGTACCATACTACTACACTATTAACACAACATAGTCATGCTAACCATGTATGCAATAGTGGTTTCCCCATCATAACAGTGGAGCGAACTTGCTGAAGCAATATGAGGCATAACTGATAGGAACTAAAAACGCGTATTTTGTTGATACTGAAAGAATAGACTTCATAGATATAACAGATAATAGAATTAGCCTTCACCTTTCAAAAAAACTCCTCTTATGCAGCACTTCTACCTCAGATATGTTACATTGTTGTATAATCGTCAAAAAAGTGCTTCCTTTTGATTGTCTTTCCCTTTGTTCCTTGTGCATCTGGCCTTGAAAACTTTCTGCTCATTTTAAGTAACGTACTGTGATGCACTCTGGCTACTTAGTTCTACTGTCGATGGATGAAAATTATAATTCTCACATGCATTTAAAGTATTTAAGAGCTGGAACATTCAGCTGTAGAATCCTTTTCAGTCTGGTTGGCATGCGGTGTGGATTAACGTAGTGCACTCCAAAGGGAGGGCAACCAACATTATTCCTGCAATTTTCTGTTTGGCTACCGGGTTCTCTGGGATTGCAATTCCACAGGATATTGATGAAAATGAACTTCTGTCAAAAGTCCCAAAACAGAATTTCTAATTTTGTGTTTCAATTGAAAAATCCAAGGTCAAGGAACTGAGCAAAACTCTAGCACCAGGGATCAAAGAGGGACCAACCAGCCCTCGTGAAACTATACGTTTGGAAGCATTTGTTTCATCCAATGAACAACTCTACAGAAACATATCGTTTTCAACAATTATGTAATGTTTAAAATATGGTACAAACGTGTCAATGCTTATGAAGCTGATGTGAAAGAAATCAACGTGGTTGCTTAAGAGGATATCTACATTTTTGAGAACACAGAGAAACAGGTCTCAGCGGAGAAGTGGGTGAAAAACAGCAGGTGAGAAGGATGGGGAAGAGAATTAGGGAGGGTTGGATGGACTGAGAGGAGAAAAAGAGGGAGGGAGCAAATGGGGTAAGAAATAAGAAGGTGGAAGAACAGATAAAAAAAGAGTTCGGAGGGGTGCAAGAAGAGCAGAAGGGGAAGGGTGGGAGAAGAGTGTGCTGATCAAAACAAATTCAGATCAGAGTTGGAGGAGGAGAATTGAGGCATAGAAAAGCTCATTGAAGGAGAAATACAGTCAGTCAGTAGATGATGGTGCTGTGATGAGAAATACTATGGGTTGGATAGGGAGGGAGATCTTTAAAAAGGGAATTAATTGTATCCACAGGGAGAGGAGTTCATAATCTTGCTGAATGTGGAACAAAAGGTTTGAACAGTTGGTTAGTCCCAAATTTGACCCTAGAAGGCACCTGGAGATCCTCGAAGGCGCACGGAAGGCTAGTTTTTCACAGGTAAGAAAATTTAAGGAACAAAGCAAGATGCAGTAATTGCCTAACTGTGGGGACAGAATTGCTCAACATAAAGTTGTGCCACTATATAACCATTCATTTAAAAGTAAAGAAAAAAACTTGAATTCATTTAGTGCCTTTCAGGACTTCAGGACATTGAAGTGCTCTACAGCTAATGAAGATTGTGGTTTCAAGCTCCACTGCAGAAGGCTGATGGTTCAGTGCGCTACTAAGATAGTGCGGAACTATAGGACTTGCCATTATTTAGATGAGATGTTAAACAAAGCCCACCCTGTCAGATCAACGTAAAAGATCTGATGGTACTCTTTCCCGGAAACACAGGGGAGTTTTCCTTGGAGCCTCAAACAACGTTCACCATTCAGCCAACTTTACTGAGCAGAATGTTTGATTATTATCTCAGTGCTATTTATGAAACTATGCTGTGTGTTAATTCACTGGTGTGTTTCCAGCATCAAGCACACTTTAGTGGGACACGACTTGACTTACTAAAGTGCTGTGGGATATCCTGACATTGCGCACACTACTAAATGTAAGTTATTTATTAGTTAATGAATGTTAAAGTTGATGCTTGTTCATATATCATAACTCTAGGATCATACCTAACTTCAGTATAATTACCAGGTTGGTTCTCTTACCTGTCCGATATGCCAATAATCTGGCTTGAACCATGCAATGTCTTGCAAATTTTTGAAATTCATCGTTTGCGTGCTCGTCACATACTTTGTCCGAATCATCGCAATAAACTCGGAACTTCCCATACTCTGGAACGCTACAGTCAACAGTTGCTAATAAAAAGACAAGATCCTCCATTTTATGCCTCAAATTAGTAAAATGAATATCGTCACACACGTTCTCTAAACCAATAGTCTTCAAGATTTCTTTGTGAGTTTCACTATTAGATATCAAGAATAATTCCTCAAATTTCTGTAATCGATTTCTTCTGCACTCAGTAAAAAAGTCTTCACGTTTACAATCTCTGTTCAGGGCGACTTTGCTTTGTAAAAACTCACACTTTTTTGAGGTTTCTTCCACAAACTGCAGCATGTTGTAAGCCAAAGGCTGAAGCAAGGTGCAAAGACGAGAGCGACTGTTGGACTTGAGTCTTTCCACAGCTTTGGCATCTAGTTTTGCATCTGAATTGCAATTATCCATTACATAGTCCTCAATTAGACTTATCTCAGGGTCACCAGGCCAGTACGATATGCGATTAACACCAGCTAAATATTGAATATTTTGCAAAAAAAAATTGAAAAAGTGGATTTTTGTTTAGTGGCAATTGTACAATTTTATTTCATAAAATAACAACACAGAAAAAAGGTCTTCAACACAAACTACTGGCTGCCTTGTTGAAAGAAATATCCAATTATTCCTTGTCCCCGCTTCTTCCACTTAGCCCTACAAATTATTCCTCTTCATATATATATCCAATTACCTTTCAAAAGCTTTTGCCTACTCATTTTTGTTTCTACTTCACAATTCTCCTCATTAAATTTCATCTGTCACATGTCTGCCCATTTCACCAAGCTGTCTACATACTCCTGAAATCTGCAACTACCCTCCTCACTGTTTACTTGACTTGAAAGAATTACCTCAGCTGTAAGCTTTGAAATTATACCCACACACCAGGTCAGAAGCGTTTGTATAAATTTGTCAAAGTATTGTTGGTACTTCTGGGGAACAACACTCAACATTTTCCTCCTATCCAAAATATGACCATTCATCATTACCCTCTGGTCTCTGTTTATTAGACAATTTTATGTTCATATTGCTACTGTCCCTATTCAATTTTATGAACAATTCTACTGTGAGGCAAGGTACTTTACCAAATACATTTCTGTTGTGCGTACCATTTAAAACCATCTTTAAACAGGTTGAGCATGGTTTCCTTGAGAAATAGAGATCGCAATCTTTCAATTTTGACCCATGTTTGACAACAGCAATTTGGCCTACATGCAACTCTGTGCTTGAACAATGGAGGCCGATAATCTTTGAATTATGCACCACAACCAGGCCATTTCTTCGTCGCTAAAAATGAAAAAAAAAACACCATGTGACAGAAAATTAAAACATAAAATACTGGAAATAAAGAAAACTAGTTTTGAAATTGAAAGCAAGAACTTGATAAACTGTACCAGCCACATAAATGCCATAATAAAACAGTAGACCAGAAGTTACCTTTCCTCCAGAGCGTGGCTCACCTTCCATCTCCACAAAACCTTTCCCTCACCTACATGACACAGTTCAGGAATACGATGGAATGCTTACCATGTGTCTTCAGGATGTAACTGCATTGCAACTGAAGAAGCTCAACATCATCTAGGATATAGCAGTCCAAACTCCTCCACTTCCAAATATCCCTCTAAGTTAGACATCAACCTGACTTGCATGTTCATTGTCCTTCATTGCTACTGGGTTAAAATAATGGAACTCCCTTCCTCCCTAGGACAGTGCTACAAAGAAGCAGCTTACCACCTTCTCAGTAGAACTTGGGATGGACAATTAATGTCAGTCTTCCAATCCCTCCCACATCCAAACATTAATAACATTAACAATTGTACTTTTCCAATTGACTATATTAATCTTTAATGTGGGATTTAATGCTCAGGTATATTATTGATAAACAGAGAAAACTCATGTAAAAATTAGATGTAGATGGTGATGAGAGACATTAATTTTGAAAGGATTTCCTCACACAGTGATGCAAGCTCAGGATGTGAAGTTTATATTCTTTCACTTCTTGCAAAGTCATGCTTAGATAATAAGGATTCTTCAGTTTCTCGTTGTAATTAGGCTTTTTCAAACCTACTACTTTTTTTTAAAAATTACTAAAATGGTTACACTAAATAGCTGGTAAATGTTGGAGTTACACTTTACAGGATGTAAGTCTGCTCCTTCGAGTCAATTTGAGACAGTTCTGTGTGGACACAGAACTAATGGGTGGGGTAGAATTTATGTGAGGGACACACCTTTAAGCATATCTTTATAATTAACATTTTTCCCATACTCTTTCTTTCCTTCCCTATAGGACATTAGTGAACCAGATGGGCTTTTCCTGACAATTGACAATGTCATCATTAGAATGGTCATCATTAGATTCTTAATTCCACCATCTGCCATGGCGGGATTCAAACCCAGGTCCCCAGAACATTATCTGGGTCTCTGGATTAACAGTCCAGCGATAAGATCACTAGGCCATTGCCTCCCCTGGTCTAGAGATGTGTAATAACATATCTTTGAACAGGATGATTGAAAATAGTGATTAATGGCCAAATATTCAGCAAGTGAGCAACATGAAATTACAAGGAGGTTACAGGCAATGTGTAGAGCTGGATGAACACAGCAGGCCAAGCAGCAGGAACCAGTACAGGCAATGTGTTGTTTTTGTGGAGTCAACTTCAGAGTAACGGAGTTCAGGCAGCACTTGCAATGATTTGCAATTTCTGGGGAGTGTTGCCGAACAAAGAGACCTTGGAGTGCAGGTTCATAGTCCCTTGAAAAGTGGAGTTACACGTAGACAAGACAGTGAAGAGGGTGTTTGGTATGCTTGCCTTTATTAGTCAGTGCATTGAGTATAGGAGTAGGGAGGCCATGTTGCAGCTGTACAGAACATTGGTTAGGCCACTTTTGGAATACTGAGTTCAATTATGGTCTCCCACCTATAGGAAAAACTTGAAATGGCTCAGAAAAAGATTTACAAGGATGTTTCCAGGTTTGGAGGGTTTGAGCTATAGGGAGAGACTGAATAGGTGGGACTATCTTCCCTCGAACGGCAGAGGATCAGGCGTGACCTTATAGAAGTTTATAAAATCATGAGGGGCGTGGATAGGGTGAATAGCCAAGGTCTTTTCCCCAGGGTAGAGGAGTCCAAAACTAGAGCATGTAGGTTTATGGTGAGAGGGAAAGATATAAAAGGGGCCTGAGAAGCAACTTCATGCAGAGAGTGATGTGTGTATGGAACAAGCTGCCAGAGGATGTGGTAGAGGCTGGTACAATTACAACATTTAAAAGGCATCTGGACGGGTACATGAATAGAGGGATATGGGCTAAATGCTGGCAAATGGGACTAGATTAATTTAAGATATCTGGTCAGCACAGACGAGTTGCACTGAAGGGTGTGTTTCCATGCTGTACATTTCTATGACTTAATTCATAGACCGTCTTTTCCTTTCCAGTATTTTCTGCCAATTTTTTTGTTTATAAATGTACAGTACATAAACTGCAACTTTTTTGGCAATTATATTTATAAATATATATTAGCCTGAAATATTTTCCTCCACAGAAGTAAGAAATGTATCATCTTATGACTTCATCAAGGTCCAAAATCAATTAAGTATGTACTTTTGAAGCATTGTAACATAGCAAATACAGCTATGAATCTGCACACAGCAAAACCTGACAACTAATTGATAGTGATCCAATAATTTATTTTAGGGATTTGATTGAAAGAGAATTAACTACTAGGATAACAGGGATAACCCCCCTGCTCTTCTTTTGAATGGTAGCATGCAACTTTTTAATCCACCTATTAGACCAGGTGGAATCTTAGTTTAAAACCCATCCAAAATATGACACCTCAGACAGGCAGCACCACCTCAGTGTTTTGTCACCTGGAGTCAGAGACAAGAGATGTATGTCACTGAAATGGTGAAAAGACACTCAGAAGTGGTTTAACTTCCATTGAATCGACAGGTGATGGACTAAGTTTGAGTTGGGTAACATCAACTTTGGCATAGTCTTCTACTTAATTTACATTTACCTTACTTCTGTCATTCAATTATCTGAGCTGCAAGGACAGGAAGACCAGCACATGCATTACCTCTAGGTTGTAAAGTTGTAGGTTTAAGATATATATCAGCTGACTCTCCAGGGCTCATCCTTCAGATGAGATTACAAGCATTGTTGTCTGCTTTCGGGGCTCACTTGACTTAGAGGCCCGATATTATTTGCAGAACAAGCATTTCTTCTGATGTCTTAATAACATTCACCTCAACTGGCAACACCAACAAATTAGTTAATAATTCAACCCAGCATTGATGCCAGTATCTTCCCATGTGTAAAATGGTTGTAGTATTCTTTCCCACCACGTGTCCTTCCGTGCTAAGCTACTGTACTACAAAGTGAATGATCATACCGAGAATAAATTAGTGCTCAGGATTAATTATAAAAAGGGAAAACACATACCTGAGAGCAACACAATTTCACCAAAATGTCTGAAATCATTACAACACTTCTCCATTTACTCTGAATAGGTCAAATTATTGGACACTTAAAGAGTGCATTCTCAAAAATGTGGATGTGTTCCTTTTAAGTGTTCTACAGTTTACTTGTTGAACACATAACAGTTATCAAGATCTTTTCACCAGCCCTCCTATATTCAGGCCAGTAATTAATTCAACCCCTTGCCCCCACGTACCCATTTACCTCCCAATCCCCTCAAATTTCTTCCTGTCTTCTTGCTTGAAGACATGAAATTCACAGAGAATGACATATTAACAATATCTCTATTTGATCCGTTTGCCAGAACTGTGCCTGATACTTCCTACCTTCTAAGGTGGCAACTGTAGCATCCAGGTACTAGCTCAAATGAGATCAACCAATTCAGCATAGATTAGTAGCAAAACTGGGACTTCATAAACTGTAGAGAACACTATGATACAAGACAATGTACAAAGTATTGGAAAAAAGTTTACTTTCAATTCTGACAATATTAAATTATCAGTCGTGTGGGTAACCTGAAAATGTAGTGTACAGGTAGGTTACTTCCTGCTCAAACATTTCATTCGTTTCCCAACTCCACTGATGTCTGTTATATTTAATAAATTTCCTTGGCTAGCTAAGTCTTCCCAGTTATTTTTAAAAGTTCTACTATAAAACCTTTTTTTAAAGCAACGTTTCCATCTACTCTGAAGCAAATTGCCCCAATACCAACTTAGGTCTACTTTCCATTAAGATAAGAAAAACATAAACAATTTATCCTAAGGTGACAGAAAAATCTTATTTAAGTAAAATAACACCCTCCTCCAGGAAAGGGGAGAAAAATCAGAGGCTGTGTTATTGCAGACTTCTGTTTAAGGTATCAAGAATAGTTTAAGGACAGCAACAAGGAACAAGTCCTTTATTATTGGGAGATGACAATAGACAGACTTGGTTGAGGTGTTGTGTACTCATTGTATGACAAAAAGTGTACAAATAACTAGCTTTCAGGACGTGAAAAAGATTAACAGCAGTTTTACATGGCATATCTCAAATTTCCTAATAGAAAATACTAAACGTATTATCTATTCAGCATGTTAGCTGGGAATGTTGTGTATGTGAAGCCATAGACTGAAATATGAAGTATCCTAACATGTTATATACATGTGAACATTATAGAATGTTGCAAATAATAGATAAATGCTTAAATATTATTGTGCATACCACCAATAAAACTATTTTAGGTACCAACATCCCATTAGTCCATGAACCCATCTGCATTTCTGTTCCACTTATGTACAATGTACATTACTGCGAAATTTTGCAGCATCCGGTCTATAAGTGACTGTACATAGTACACGAAAACTGCTCAAGTATATAAAATTATACAATAGTTAGTATGACTAGAATTATACAAAAATGATTGATAACAGCAAAAAGTGTCTTAATTAATGACTAAAATAGAAAAACAGAACCCAATATGTCAGTGATAGGTTAATGTAACTGACAAGACATATAATCCATGTACCTTTGCATATTATTAAACAGCTTCTTCAGTATGATCTTTGGCCAAATACCATACCTGAATTGCCTTTTGTTCATTATTTGGAAAAAGTTCCATCCACAGACTAAGGAGAGTGAAAAAGTTTACTTTCGAGAGTCTAGGGCTCAGTCCTAGGAAATAAAGAAGGCATTTTAACATGCATATTACCAAATTAAGTTTCCACTCAATAAAGACAATACTAACAGATTACCTTATCAAAAAATATATCCAATAATGGAATAATCCGGCTGTAGTGATTGGAACGAGGTCAGCCAGGGGGACCTCAGAATATGAGTTCCCTGATTGGGGCTGTTAACCTGGTCAAATCAGGGAGCCCTGGCTGACAGATATAAACAGGAGGTTCTGTTCACTCTAGGACCCAGCTCTGAGCTAGCTGAGTCAATGTCATGTCCTATGCACATGTAAATAGAGGGTGACTTGGTGATGGGATACCAGCCTTTATTTCACTGACATCTTAAAATACCGTGGCCTGCATTCCTACAGAAACAACAACTTACATTAAAACAAACATCTGTAATACAGAAAAATGACCAGAAGTATTCACAGTTGTGTAAACAGTCAAAAGTGGATGCTAAACCAAGGGAAAAAATATTCAGTGGTATCAAATAGGTAAGTTTAAAAGAAAGGTTCCTGAAGAAAGTAGAGGAATGGAGACACAAGGAGAATTAGCAAGGGAATTTTAGAGCATGGAGCACTGCTCATAGAACAGCTACCAATGGTTGGGTGAAGTGAGGACAGGATGAACAAGATAGTAATGGAAAGAGAGGTCCGTGGACAGAGTTGGGGCTGAAGGAAGACAGAAATTGGGGTTCTGGGGAGCCAGGAAATGAAGGGATTTGAACCCAAGAATGAGAATTTTAACTTGATTATACAGATCTGGGGACTAATGCAAGTCAAGGAAGATTGAAGGGACTGGCAAATGGAACTTCTGGATAAGCTGATGTAAGTACAAACCACAGAAGTTGGTTGGATAGTCAGAAGAATATTGGAGTCGTTGAGTCTGGAAATAACAACCGCATGAACGAGATATTAATATTGGATGGGGCAAAGGTCAAATGGAAATAGTTAGATTCTCTCTTATTGGAGATGGTAATTAACTAGTACCAGTGTGACACAAATATTATTTACCATAAGCAATAAATTATACATTTTATAATAAATCTAGAAATACCTAATAAGAATAGATAGGCATAGCATAACAGTTTTCTTTCTCGCTCTGGAAATAAACAAACAGTCCCTGGAAATGTCGACGCCCTTGGTTCAGAATTTCATGTTGACATTCTAACTTGGCAGGATAGCATCTTATGTACCCTGTTATTTTTGCAAATGTTTACAAATGGCCAGAAAGTGACCCTCACATGATGTTAATACAAAACCTGACCTTGAGTTGGGAGGTGGACATGAAGGACAGTTATCATCTTGCTTGTCTTGTTTCCATTGGTTAGAAAAATTCAAACAGAGTAACATAGAGTAAACATAGAGTAAACCACTAGCACTCAAAGTCAGGGGCAGTCCTCTTCAGGCATTCACTTTTCTCAGAAGAAAGGCTGGTCTACTAAGATGGACAAAGACCCAGGGAAGAGTTGTAACACTTCAGCCAGATAGCAGACTGCTGCCATCACAAGTTACTGAGAGCAATACACTCCTGGCAACTGGCCTTTTGACCTCTGATATCAATGAACTGCTCTCAACTGTCATGGGTTGTGATTTTTTTCCTGTCTACATTGCTAATGCCTCAAACCTAAACTGCTGCTTCTTAATAAACTATCTTAAAATTACGTACAAATAATTTGTTTCTTTGGGTATCTGTAGCTCCAGAACCCAAAATCTTACAGGTTGGTGTGAGGAGTAGAATCCTCACAGGCTGAGGTATGATTGGCTTAAAATTTGGGAAACAACAGTCTTATTGAGGAGGGTCATTGGGACTGGTATATGCAAGAGAATTGATTGATAAGAGTTTGGCAAATAAATGCCACATCTGAGTGTTGAAGTCTATTTTTCATAGGCTTTGGTTGGTAAACAAAATTAGGGACAGGCAACAATTGCTGGCTTTGCTCGTGACACTCAGATCCCATGAAATAATTGGTGAAAAAGACTGTTGTAACTTTGGCCTTATCTTGTTTCTTAATTGCCCTTTGAAATGGCCTAGTAACTCACTCAGTTGTACCAAATTGCTCTAGAAAAGTTGAAAAAGATTAAAACTGGATACACCACCCAGAATTGACCTGTACACCTGAAATAACATCGATACAACTTGCCCTGTCAACTCCGCAAAGTCCTCTTTACTAACATCTTTGTACAAAACTTGAGAGAACTTTTTCACAAAGTAGTCTAGCAACAGCCCAACGTTGAGCTAATTCTCCAAGTCATACCATTCAGCCAATGTTTCAGCCTCCTCCATCATCACTCCTGGGTATGGTTAGACCCATCAAAGGTGATGATATCATAGTATACGGTCAGTTGGGCGTTGTCCTGAGATTCTCCACATTGATTCTAAAGCCCATGAAATGGCATAGTATCAGATGGACAAGGAACCTTCCTACCTACTTCCTCCCTCTGCTGATGAATCAGTTTTCCTGTATGTTGTACACTCTTTGAAAGAAGCAGTGAGGGTACCAAGGACACAAAATGTTCAATGTGTCAGAAACTTCAACTCATCACTAAGAGTGACTATCTAGTGCCACTACTTACTCTTTTAAAAAATTGCTTCATGGGAAGTATATGCTGTTAGCAAAACTAGCATTTATTGCCTAACTCCAACTGTTTAATTGGTGACTGCAGTTAAGAGTCAACCATATTGCTGTGGCTCTGGAGACACGTGCAGACCACACTAGGTTTAAGGACGACAGATTTCCTTCCCTAAAGGACGTTAGTCAACTAGATTCTTCATAGGTAGGTGAGCCTGACATTGATGGTGGGCAAGTTGTTGAAGGGAATCCCGAGGGAAAGGATTTGCATGTGTTTGGAAAGGCAAGGACTGATTAGGGATAGTCAACATGGCTTTGTGTGTGGGAAACAGTGTCTCACTAACTTGACTAAGTTTTTTGAAGTAATGAAGAGAATTAAAGATGGCAGAAAGGTGGAAATGATCTATATGGACTTCAGTAAGGCATTTGACAAGGTTCCTCATAGACTAGTTAGCAAGGTTAGATCTCGTGGAATACAGGGAGAACTAACCATCTGGATACAGAACTGGCTCAAAGGCAGGAGACAGAGGGTGATGGTGGAGGGTTGCTTTTCAGTCTGGAGGCCTGTGATCAGTAGTGTGCCACAAGGATTGGTGCCGGGTCCACTGCTTTTTGTCGTTTATATAAATGGCTTGGCTGTGAACATAGGAGGTATGGTTAGTAAGTTTGCAGATGACACCAAAATTGGAGGTGGAGTGGACAGTAAAGAAGATTACCTCAGAGATCAAATGGGCCAATGGGCCAAGGAGTGGCAGATGGAGTTCAATTTAGATAAATGTAAGGTACTGCATTTTGGAAAGGCAAATCAAGGCAGGACTAAAACACTTAATGGTAAGGTCCTGGGGAATGTTGCTGATCAAAGAGACCTTGAAGTGCAGGTTCTTAGTTCCTTGAAAGTGGAGTCCCAGGTAGACAGGGTAGTGAAGGTGGTGTTTGGTATGCTTGCCTTTATTGGTCAGTGCATAAAGGAGTTTGGAGGTTACGTTACAGCTGTACAGGACATTGCTTTAGCCACTTTTGGAATACTGTGTGCAATTCTGGTCTCCCTGCTATTAGAAGGATGTTGTGGAACTTGAAATGGTTCAGAAAAGATTTATGAGGATATTGCCTGGGTTGGAGGGTTTGAGCTACAGGGAGAAACCGTGTAGGCTGGGCTATTTTCCCTGGAGTGTTGGAGGGTGAGGGTTGACAATATAGAGGTTTATAAAATCATGAGGGATATGGATAGGTCAATAGCCAAGGTCTTTTCCCAGGGGTGGGGGAGTCAAAAATTAGAGGGCATAGGTTTAAGGTGAGAGGGGAAAGATTTAAAAGGGACCTAAGGGGCAACTTTTTCACACAGAGGGTGGTGTGTGTTTGGAATGAGCTGCCAGAGAAAGTGGTGGAGACTGGTACAATTACAACATTTAAAAGGCATCTGGATGGGCATACGAATACGAAGGGTTTAGAGGGATATGGGCCAAATGCTGGCAAATGGGACTAGATTTATTTAGGACATCTGGTCAGCATGGACAAGTTGGACCGCTGGGTCTGTTTCCATGCAGTACAGCTCGATGACTCTATATGTTGTATAAGTCATATTATTTTCAATTTTTCTGTATTTTTACTGTTTTAACCTGAACTAATTGTAAGCAACATTTATACAGCTGCTTGTTCGAGCAGTGTTTAAAGTACAAATGTAGGTGGAGTTTTGATTGGTATAAGTAGCTGACGAGTCTATCAATGCCAAAGGCCTTCTGCTGATTGGCTTTCAGCTGACTAAACAGCTTGGGGCTCTGAACAAGATACAAAGAAGTCATTAGATATCTACCAGTTCAGGAAATCATTCTGTTCTCTACAGTAAAAGCCTGAAAAAGAACAAGTTACTTTCAGAAGTGGCTGTAAGCTAAGATTTTGATAATTCAGAGACATTTTAAAAATGAACTAGCCACACTGTGCCTCTTGCAAGCCAATGGAAGCATTTTGGAGAGGGGCAACCAAGAAGCAGCATTTTGATCAGTACATGAATCATAGGCATTATCTCAGGAATCATTGAACTGCCTTCCCAGTCTTTCATTCTATCCATATCACCCATGTATTTTTCCCCTTTATGTGCATATGTAAGGAGGAGTTTACAAGATTAGAGTTTTAATTAGTAGATATATATGCCAATGATTCGCCTATTTAGTATTTTGTTAATCTGGGTCTAAAAGAAAGATAAACTGGAGAATTCTGTATACTTTTTAAAATCCTTTATTGTTGTGATGACTCCAGGAATACCAGGGCTTGATTTCTAGCAGGTTTCCCCAGTGAAACGTGACAATGTGAAGTGAGAAGAGGCTGAGTTTGAGGGAGATGATACAGGATTAGAAGCTTAGCTCACCTTATGAAATCCCGTTTCTTCTTCCGTCCTTTTTGAGTGAACTTTCCTTTCCCATTTGGTA